GAATATAAATGTCTTAACACAACAATTATGAGAAAGACATGATGGCTATGTTAGTTGGATGAGAGTTTTTCAAACTGTATATGGAAACAACACACTGTATCCTATGATAGAATTAATGTACACAATTATGATATAATATAAAATAAAATGAAATAAGAGTAGTTCTGAATATTCAGTGAGATAATGCAGATATAAAATGACTCATATAAAATGCTGATAATTACTGTTATAAAATGCTTCAAAGTCTAAAAATCCCCACATGTGAAAGAAAGATATGAAAATACCACAAGACAATGGAGGCCAAAAAATGTTTTAATTCCCAAATTATTTATGTGCATTTAATCCATATGTCCAATGACTTAAAATAATAAAATATAATGGTTTTGTTTCTTTGTGTACCTTGCTACTTGTATAGTCTTAAAAAGAAATAGTCTCAAGCAATTCAGTAGGGGAAATAATAGTCTTTTAGATAAAAGGCATTGGGACAACTCTATATTCATATGCAAAAGAATAGAGTCAGACCCCTAACTCAAACCATTTGCAAAAGTAACAAAATGTATCAAAGGCCTAAGTATGAGAACTAAAACTATAAAATTCTTTAAAGGAAATGACATAAGTTTTCATAATGCTGGAATAATGAAAAGGCAGAAGTAACGAAAAGAAAAGAAATACTGACACAGCCTATAACATAAATAAGCCTTGAGAGAGTTATACTGAGTGAAAGAAGTTGGTCCTGAAGACTACACACGGCATGATTTCATTCACGTGAAACATCCACAGTAGGAGAATCTATAGAAAAAGAGAGTAGTGGTTTTCTGGGGTCAAAGAAAGGAGAGAATGGGTAGTGACAGCTGACCAGGTTTCCTTCTAGGGTGATGGACATAAGTAGAAAATTGTTTAGGTGATGGTTGTGCAACTCTGTGAATATACTAAAAAAAAAACAACAACATTGAATTGCATAGTTTAAATAGGGGGATTTATAGTATGTGAATTGTACCTAAATAAAACTCTTGTGAAAGAAATAATCCCACAAGCTAAAGAAAGAAGACAGATGCTGACAAGAATTTAAATCTGACCCATGAATGGATCAATAAATTGTGGGATATGTATACCATGGAATACTACGCAGCCTTTAAAAATATGGAGACTTTACCTCTTTTATGTTTACATGAATGGAGCTAGAACATATTATCCTAAGTAAAGTATTTCAAGAATGGAAGAAAAAGTATAGAGCACAACGATAGCCCAGGATGAAGGAAAGAAATGGAGTGGGAAGGAAAGGGAGAGGGGGAGTTTTTGATAGAGGGAGGTAAACAGTTGGACCACACCTATGGAGCATATTGTAAGGGTACAAGTCAAATCTATCAAGTATAGAACATAAATGTCTTAACACAAAAATCAAGCAAATGAGGCAAAAGCTATATTAATTAGTTTGATGTACACACTCCAAATTGTATTAAAAAATCGACACACTGTACCCCACATATGCATAAATGTATTCATGATCTATGTGTATATGACTTAATAAAAGGAAAAAATGAAAAAATAAAAAATAAATATAACCAATAGCAAAATATTATGTCTGTTTTACTTTGTTTTTTTAAGAAAACACAGTTCACTGTCTGCCATTAAATAAATCAAATCATAAGCCTCATGCATGGGAAAGCAATCGGCCAGGAAAAAATAATTGTGCCCTGGAAGAATTCAAATGCCCTCAAAAAGGGACTCAAAAATTCTTAGTAGCTGACTCAGATTAAAGTAATCAGTAACATACTGGTTGCTGAACCAAGTTCAAGTCTGTTGGGAAATAGCAGCACTTTAAAAGTGGGCTTTCACTCAAGGATAAGGGGAAAGGGGAGAGGGAAGGGAGGGGAGGAGAGAGGACAGGTGGAGGGAGGGTAATTGGTGGGACCACACCTACAGTACATCTTACAAGGGTACATGTAAAATTTACTAGGTGTAGAATATAAATGTCTTAACACAATAACTAAGAAAATGCCGTGAAGGCTATGTTAACCAGTTTGATGAAAATATTTCAAATTGTATATAAAACCTGCACATTGTACCCCATGATTGCATTAATGTACACAGCTATGATTTAATAAAGAAAAAAGAAAGAAAGGAAAAAAAAAGTGGGCTTTCAGAAGTCCTTGTAGTAGTATATACAGGAACCCCCAGCAGCAGCTCCTGACCAAGGGCCTCCTACCTGTGAGCCTTCAGGATCCTCTGGGCAATGGCATCACCAACCTTGTTGAACACAGTTTTGTCATCAGCACAGCTTATAAAAAACTGGTTCTACGAGAAATAGACAGGATGATCGTGTAAGTCTTTTCTAAGTATTACATGCAATAAATAATACATTCAGATTTTTTTAAAAACAATGTTTCACACAGCAAATATTCTGATCACTGAAGTCACATCAGGAAAATAAATGCCAGAATAAAAGCAGTTGTATTTCACTCTGGGTCTCACATGTTTCTAGATCATATCACTTACAACATCTTAGTAGCGTGGAAGGCTACACTATTATCTCACTATGGGAGTTCCCTGTGCAATGACATTTTTAGCATGTTTAGGAACATTCCAAAAATTAATCAACAGGGAAATTAGGTTTGTTCAGATTCACACAATGTATAAATCCTGTGATTGAAATTTCTGTATCTACAAATATTCTATCTCATGTGAATTTCCCTTTTTCAACTGGGTTGATGGCAGAAGCCCAGTCTAATTATCTCCACCCTCCTTTTCTGGAAGAATAGAGGGAATGCTTGAATGATGCCCACTTAAATCAGCTATAGGAATGTCCAACAACTCCCGGACCACAAGCACATGTACTTATGTGGCATGACTGACCTGACTTAATATTATCGTCAAATTAAGAAGTTGATCTTAATGCCTCCAGAAAGTTAGGAAGCAAAATGATTCTGGTAATGTAGGAGCCACCTTAATATCTTACATTACTGTGGTATAACTGTCAAATAATACTAATGGTATTACTAAACTCCAGATTTTGTGCAGAGTTCACTAATTTTTTACCAGTGTCTGGTATCTATTGCATGATCCCATCTGGTATACCACAAATGCATTGGGCCTGCTAACATTTTTAATTAGCCTTCTCTCTTCAGGTCCATGAAATAAACAGGGCTCCAATTCCTCTCTGCTTGCCTGTAATGACTTGTCACTGCACAGAGGGGGGAAAGGCCAGGACTTGGGGGAAGGAAAATAGGGGTAGAATGGTTTTCCCTAGCTAGCTCTTCTCTCCTATAGTTTTAAAAAATTCAATGGGAAAGAAAAGATTAGAATAAAGAAAGGGTAAGTGCTCTGCTTTATGATTTCCATTATTGTGACTTCTATTTTCTCAGGGTTTTTCAAGTGCTCTGAACTATTTTTATTTAACTTTGAAGTGTACTTTAAGTTTCAAAACTAACCTCAGTGTCCCCAGATTTTCTCATATACTCTGAACATGAACTCTGAAAAAGCTTTATAATGAACACTAGTTCACACAGGATTAAAAAAGGTGGTATCTGCCTTTAATGTCTTCACATTCTTCCTGTTCCAGGTTCTTCATTTACTACTTACTTATTTATTGATTAACTTAGAAAAAGAAGTCTCACTCTGTCGCCCAGGCTGGAGTCCAGTGACATGACTGTAGCATACTGCAGCCTTGAGCTGCTGTGCTCCGGAGTATGCGTATGTGTAGTGCTGGGCTCCTTTTCCATGTTTTTTCACTGTGCTCTCCTGACTCTACCATCCCCAAATCAGAGGCATCCAGTTGTCTCTATTTTAGCAACTTATTCCTATGTGTGCTGCCCTGAAACAGCACACACTCCACATTGAAACCCTCCGACCCAAGCCAGATCAAAACTCATGCATACATACTGGGATATTTTGAGCTAATGATATGACAAAGAGTTGCAATTTAATAGCTAGGATTTGGGAGACTCCCATGGCAATCTTGAGTTAATGACAGTGCAGAGCAAGTTGAGTGTGTGCTGGGTGGTGCAAATGAACCAGCCTTTCCACAGCACTCTTTATATCACAGGAGGTGAATACAGCAGGTCCTGAGCTTGGGACCTTGCAGTCTCAGTGTGCTATTTATGTGAAGAGTTTGTCACGTGAACCTATAACAGCAGACTTACTTCGACATAGATGTAGTGCTTGCTGTTCTCTATCACGTAAACATAGGCAGTGTGGATGGACTCCTCGTGGTACTTTATGCCAGCAGACCAGTCCGCAGCAGAGCGCAGCAGCTACAAGGCAGTGGTCAGAGATGAGCACACCCAGGGCAATGAAGAGGACACCAGAAATATTAATGTAATAAAGTCACTCCTTTTCCTAGAAATGACTGAATGATTACAGTGGCTTAAATGTGACGTGTGAGCCAAGGGAGAGTGGGGGTGTGGACAACACTGTGAGGAAGAGGAGGGAAAGGAGCTTGTCCCATAGTCCATGAGGAAGTGGCTCTGCTGGAAATCACACCCTGAATGTACCCTCTTCTACAAGGATTATTTTCATTCACAATTGGAAACCCAGAGGTGTGGTTTCTATAAAGAATATTTCAGAAGTACATCTTCTGTGCCTATGAGTAGGGTGCCATTCCTAGTCCTTTCCTGTGACGGTCCCACAGCTGTACAGAATGCCTGTGTGCTGGTGTGAGTGTGTGTTCACTCATTGCCTGTGTGCTGGTGTGAGTGTTCATTTACTGCCTGTGTGCTGGTGTGTGTGTTCACTCACAACCTTTGTGCTGGCGTGCGTGCGTTTTCACTCA